TGCCAGTCTGAAACAAGGCACCATGGGTGACTGCGTGTACTCATGTGCTAACGCGCCTTGTAATTATGGATTCCAGCTGCGGGCGATTTGACAGAAGAATGTTTTGCATTGGTTTCGACACAGGAACCGCAGTGGCAAACTACTTAACGTGAAAATGTGCCTACAAAAACCATAGCAGCCAAAAATGGCTGGAGTTGTTTCTGCAACGTCGTGTAAAGGATACGCAACTAACTATTTATTTTTATTTAAAACAAAAAAAAAAAAAACAAGTTGACGTATTATTATACTTGTACATTTTATGTTTAGTCTGAGCAGGCTGAAACTAAAACACTCAACAACACATGTGTCTCCCACAAGGGGATGTGTATTTTGGTCGCCTGGATCTAGTGCATCCATTATGTTGTTGATTTCACAATGGACTCAGGAGTGACAACAAGTATGAACTTTTGGGATCGAAGCGTGGATTTTTATAATGGAATGGGGCGTCGCTGGTCGACCCAGCCTAAAATGGGTACCAGGATGAGATGTATGTCATGGGGAAGTAAAGACGACCGGCGTAATGCTTACCACATTATCCACCTAGTGCCGATTGGTCTGTTAAAATATGGGTGTTCTTCCCATATCCCTGATGCGCCTAAGGCGTGAAAAGGGATCTTTACTTTACTTTTTCTTTACTTTGGGATGGAAAGATTTCAGAGCTAAACATTCTAAGTTTAGTATGTGGTAACTTTCACAAACTCTCTGGTACTGCCAGGACAGCACCTCTTGTCGTCTGTGTACCTGACTGTTGTTCTTAGCCGGATATTTGACTTGTGCAGACAAGGGTAGACGAAAGTTGTTTGAAGGTGGCCCAGACCTTCTGTGTGACCTTGTTAGTGTACGTTGCAAGTGTGTGCGCGCACGACACCTGATGCAGCACACGTATGCACGTCTGCACATATATTGGGGGTAGGGCTGACATGTGTCTGATCACATTCGAAACTTATTGTATCCCGATAACAGTGTGTTAGTCATGCCGATAACATTGTGCTAGTCACCCGTTGACATTGTGTTGTACAAGTGTAGGTGCAGGCGCGCGAACACGTTTGCCAGATCAGCCATTTTGAGATGTCTGAAGAGACAGGCAGAACACAGCGCCACCACTGACCTGTGCTAGATCGAATTAGACGTCTCTGTCTGTCGATATTAGGTACATGGGATGTGAAATCATAACCCCGACCCCGGGCTAGGCTGTTTTTTTTAGGGGTTTAAATTGCCTCTCGATGTGGACTTTATGTTGTCCTGGGAATGTGGTTCAGGGGTCCACCAAACTTTTATCAAATATGTTTCATTTATACTAGATTCCCAACTTCTTCATTAATTGTCTGTCTATTACAAATTCAGGGCAACGGGTAGTAGCAATATTTCTGGTGTATAATCTCCTTCTTCTTCTCTTCTTTCTAACGGAGCCTCTAAAGCTGACTTCAGGCACTTTGTAGAAAAATGATTGGTCAGATTTTCAGTGAACAGTTGAGTTGAGTTATGAGTTGAATTATCTTCACAGCACTCCGGACACATTCATAGACGCTCAGATTCACCTCTCAACATATTTATCAGCGTCGCGCGGTTTATAGTGCCAGTCTTATGCTGGCTGACAAGACTTCGTGTGCGTCCGGTGTGCTTCTCATGCTTGGTTGTGCTGATCTTTGCTACAAATTCTCGTATTCTCAGCAGTGATGTGGACACGTTGCTTCCAAAATCCTAGGAAGGTCCTATCTCTCTAAGCTCATCGACAATGTCTGCATGATCTAAGGGCCGGCCATCTTCAATTAATGCGGCACCTGCCAGTCTATCAGCTCTTCTACTACCAACCACACCTGCATCCCTGAGACAAATATACACATAGGAGAGTTTTGCAATGACTTAATCCACTGTCTGTGTAACCAGCCTGCCTCGACCCGCTCATGCTCAAAGAATCACTCAGCACACACACACACACATACACACACACACACGCTGAAATAGTCCTGTGATACTAGCCACATGAAGTCTCGTGTTACCGCCGTTGCCTCCATCGTCATGCTGCTTGTAGTCATGGAGAAGGCACCGCTGGCTTCTTAACTCTTCTGCATGAAGAGCGAGCTGTAAGTGTCCATGCACTCTTATGTAGTTCCCAGGGGTGGTCTGACATCCCCCCCCCCCCCCAATCCGCAAGACCTGTCTTGTACGTCACGCATGAATGATTACAGTGTAATTGTTCTTTACTTATCTAAGGGTTCAGGTTTACTCTTCTTCTCTTCTTCTTCACTTTCTCTTTTACCGCTGTGGGTGTCGAGGGAGATATAAGGTTCTGTTTCTAGCTCTTCTGGCTGCCTCGACCATAGGCACATCGTGCTGTTGTAGAGTTTCTCTGATGTTATCCTTCCATCTTGTTCTTGGTCTACCCCGTGCTCTACGTCCTTCTTCTCTTTCCATGTATGCTTTGTATGGTATGGTGTCACAAGGCATTCTCTCTAAGTGGACAAACCATTTCACTTGCTGTCTTTGTATGTAGTCCAGAATTGCTTCTGTGCCGACTTGTTCTCTTATGATCTCATTCCTGATCTTATCTCTTATGGTAACTCCTACATCCCTTCTCAGACATCTCATTTCCGTGGTTACTAATTTTCTTTTATGGTTTGTTGTGAGTGACCATGTCTGGCACTGGTAGCACAGAGTTGGAATAAATATGCTTTGAATAAGATGTCTCTTTGTGCTGATTGGGATTGTCTTATGCTGTAAGAGGGGGACTAGCTGTCCCAATACTTGGTTTGCTTTACTGCATCCAATGTCAATTTCTTTATCTAATTTCCTATCTTCGGTAAATGTAGTTCCCAGATATTTAAACTCAGATGCCTGTTTAATGTCTTTGTATTTTATTGCTATGTTTAGATCTGTCTTCTTTTTTCCTATTAACATTACTTCTGTCTTTTCAGTGTTGATTCTCATATTATTTGTTTTACATTCTTCATTCATGGATATTAGATGTTGTTGCAATTTCATGGCTGTATCTGCTATCAAGGCCTGGTCATCTGCAAAGAGTAATTCGTTGATCTTACTAATGTCTTCATTCATTAGTTTAGATTACAGGTTTACTCGGCCAGCATAAATGTAAGTTCTAGGGCATTTTCAGAATGAGTTGGTATTGTCAAAGAACGAATCTGCATATCCCACACTAGTTGTTTAGCCCAGAATATTTAAGGCCTGACTAAACTAGAAACTGTCTTTATTGGTCATTTGGGTGCGTGTCTTTCCTAAAGTGTTTTATTTTCCACGATTATGTATGTCTGTGTTTCTGACTGCTCCAGCCGTTTGCCTTGCTCTCTGGCGGTCTCGGGTTTCTTTCAAGGTTGTGCCGTTCAGTTCACGGGTGCAGTTTTAACGGAGATCCCTGGGGATTGTCGCCGGAGCTACAATGTTCACGCTCTGTGTGACGCTGTCGGCAGGCCGCTAACTGTTCTGCGGAGAGAGACCGAGCCATAAGGGATTAAAAACCGATGCAATGAAGTCGATTTTCTCGACTGTAGCTTGTGTGTGTGTGTGTGTGTGTTAGAGAGAGAGAGAGAGAGAGAGAGGGAGAGAAAGAGAGAGAGAGAGAGGGGGGGGGAGAGAGATGGAGGCCAAAAAGTACCGTACAATCTCTGGTCTTCTGTTAAGATGCCTTATATCGTAGAACGACTGTAATCGATTGTATGTGAAACAAAAAAAAAAAAAGGGGGGGGGGGGTTTAATAGCATCTAACTCATCCAGACAAATAGCAACCCACATCAAAATCTCTTTTCTTTGGACACGTTCCGATAAGAAGTTTGGACTAGACCGTGATAATGGAACATTTGTAAAGGATGAGAACCAGGGGGAAAACAAGAGAGGGAATGTTAGACAGGGCAAGCATTTTTTTTAAATGGGTAGATAGTAGGGCTGTGGAGATTTTCTCACTCTAATAGCATCGATAAGTATTGACTTGACCTGGTTATATTCCGTCTGATACTTTTTAATTTAAAGAGAAAACATCGGAGTCCAAGGTACGTCGGAGTCCAAGCAAGAATAGACCAACCATCTACTCAAAAAGGCAAGTCGGAGTGCATCAGCCCGAGTGGCAAGGAAAAACCGACTGCACATGAAAGCACTGTTTGTTAGAAGTTGAACGAACAACTCCGTCAGAAGGAGTTGATGTAACAACCATCTGCGATAGAAGAGAGTCAAAAGAGTATAAACTATTTGGATGAACCAATGAACACATGGAGTAGGTTGCATGCTACAGACAGATGTTAGTCACGACCATGTAGACTCACCAGCAGCAGCAGCAGATGTCGACACGGCCGCATTCATTTGTTCAGGGAGGTGAAGCACATAGGGTCCTATGACGGACGTTAGGTATTTCATTATCCTCAGACGCTAGCCTGAAATATTTTGGTCATATCAAGCGCCACGACGGATTGGAAAAAATTATAGCAGAAGGCATGGCACCAGGAAGGAAGGGCAGGGGCCGACCGACACGAAGATGAGCACATGATATAGGTGACCCCTTGAATGTGAAAATGCATGAGTCGGGAGAACTGGCGAGAGACCGAGTTTCTTTCAGGCAGACTGTGATGAGAGCGACGTTCTGCAAAGTGCCTAGGGGAAACAGACTGTATTAATTAATAGTTATAGTTGAAAACTGGGCAGCGACCGTACTATAGCGATGATACGCTGGCTTGCGGATCCAAAGGTCGTAGGTTCAAATCCGAACATAGCTGGACTTTTTTTCTTTCAAAAATGACTTAGACCTCCAGGTCAACAGTGCTCTAAATGGGTACCAGATACAGTCCTGGGAAGTAAAGCCTTTTCCTGTAATGCTCACCACATAACCCACCGTGTGCCCATTACCCCCGAGGGCGTGGAGAATAGTTTTGTTGTTGTTACAGTTGGAAACTATAGGTAGATTTAGTTAGCAACAGCACGGATAGTTTGAGCAACGTGTCTGATTGGTTGTCTTGCAGGATGTGAAAACACAGACAGCGGAGTGGGGGTCTACGCCTCTGATCCAGATGCCTACACAGTGTTCGCCCCATTGCTGGACGCCGTCATCAAGGACTACCACAAGGTGTCCGAACTCAACCACCCCAATCCAGACTTGGGGGATATCGCTAAACTGGACTTTGGTGACCTTGACCCGTCCGGCAACTTGATTGTTTCAACCAGAGTCCGCGTGGGCCGCAGCCACGACAGCTATGGATTCCCCCCAGTGCTGACAAAGGAGGTCAGTCTCCGAATATTCTTCTTCACTTTTCAAGTATCTACAGGTTTTCTATATTTCCTAGAGGTTTAGCAGAGGGTTTTCTATGTCTGTTATAGTGTTATAGATTTTCCCGTCTGGCATAGGTTTCTTCAATGTCTGAAACTTGCTTTTATAGCTGTTTAAGCATTTATATACTGTAATATTATCATGTGACCAGAAGAGTTAAGATCTGACATTACATGTGATTACAGGATTCTTGGGTATTTCCATAAACACCCCATTCCTGTTTGCAGCAGAGTTCCTAAACCACTGATGTCAGTTGCACTTTGACAAAAGTTGGCCTTGCCCTCCGAACTTTAAGAGTAAAGCCAAAGACTGGTGAAGTGAAGCCCGGTTTTATCGGCACTCATTAAAACTTTTAATAAAAGGTTTAAACAGGATAAATAAGAAATCAGCATAAACGGTAAACGGAAGTGGAAATGACTGTCTTTGTAAAACCCAGTTAGAAGTAACAGGTTTAAAAAGGATAGGTAATAAACAGGATTAAAAATACACAGGATAAATATTATTCAGGATAACAAATAAACAGGATAAATAATAAATCAGCATAAACGGCAAGCTGAAGTGGAAATGGCCGTCTTTGTAAAACCCAATTAGAAGTAATAGAATCAGTTTAATTGTTAGGAAATCCGTCACCATTATGTAATCATTCATGGTTAGGTAATCTTTCATTGTTATGTATTACTTCATGGTTAGGTAATCTTTCATAGTTAGGTAATCTTTCATAGTTAGGTGATCTTTCATGGTTAGGTAATCCTTCACGGTTAGGAAATCCTTTACGATTAGGTAATCAGTCATGATTAGGTTATCTTTCATGAATAAGCAATCTTTCATGGTTAGGTAATCTTTCACAGTTAGGAAATTATTCACGGTTAGGTAATCCTTCATAGTTAGGTAATCTTTCATGGTTAGGTAATCTTTCATGGATAGGTAATCTTTTATGGTTAGGTATCTTTCATGGTTATGTATTCTTTTATGGCTAGGTAATCTTTCATGGTTAGGTAATCTTTTAGGGTTAGGTAATCCTTCATGTTAGGAAATCCTTAACAGTTATGTAATCATTCACGGTTAGGTAATGTTTCACAGTTAAGTAATCTTTCAAGTTAAGGTAAACTTTCATGGTTAGGTAATCTTTCACGGTTAGGTAATCTTTCACGGTTAGGTAATCTTTCTTCATTAGGTAATCTTTCACAGTTAGGTAATTTTTCATGATTAGAAAATCTTTCATGGTTAGGAAATCTTTCACGGTTAGGTAATCTTTCAAATTTAGGTAAACTTTCATGGTTAGATAATCTTTCATGATTAGAAATCTTTCATGGTTAGGAATCCTTCATGGTTAGGTAATCATTCACAGTTGAGTAATCTTTCACAGTAAGGTAATCTTCATGGTTAGGTGATATTTCATGGTTAGGTAATCTTTCATGGTTAGGTAATCTTTCATGGTTAGGTAATACTTCATGGTTAGGAAATCTTTCACGGTTATGTAATCCCTAATGTTTAGGTAATCCTTCATCATTAGGTAATCCTTCATGGTTAGGTAATCTTTCATGGTTAGGAAATCCTTCACAGTTAGGTAATCTTTCATGGTTAGAAAATCTTTCTTGGTTAGGTAATCTTTTATGCTTATGAAATCCTTTACAGTTAGGTAATCTTTCATGGTTAGGAAATCCTTCATGGTAAGGAAATCCTTCATCGGCTAGGAAATCCTTAATGTTAGGAAATCCTTTATTGGTTAAGAAATACTAAACATTAGGAAATCTTTCATGGCTTAGGAAATCCGTCAGGATGGGAAATCCTTCACGGCTAGATAATATTTTATGGTAAGAAAATCCTTTATTGGTTAGGAAACCCTTCAAGTTAGAAAATCCTTTATCGATTAGGAAATGTTTTATCAGTTAGAAAATCTTTCACAGTTAGGAAATCTTTCATCAGTTAGGAAATCTTTCATCAGTTAAAAAATCCTTGATCGATAAGGTAATCTTTCCCCATTAGGAAATCTTTCATAGCTAGGAAATCTTTCTTGGTTAGGGAATCTTTCACAGTTAGGAAATCTTTCACAGTTAGGAAATCTTTCATCAGTTAGGAAATCTTTCATCAGTTAGAAAATCCTTGATCGATAAGGTAATCTTTCCCCATTAGGAAATCTTTCATAGCTAGGAAATCTTTCCCAGGTAGAAAATCCTGTATCAGTTAGGAAATCTTTCACGGTTAAGAAATCATTTACAGTTAGGAAATATTAGTAATCTTTTATCCTTCATCAGTTAGAAAATATTTCACGGTTATGAAATCCTTTATTGATTAGGTAATCTTTGACAGTTAGGAAATCCCTCATCGGTTAGGTAATCTTTGACGGTTAGGAAATCCCTCATCGGTTAGGTAATCTTTGACGGTTAGGAAATCCTTTATCGGTTAGGTAATCTTTTACGGTTAGATAATATGTAACAAGGGTTTGGTAAACTGGTCTCTTCTGTTACCTTCAACTAGGATCGTGTGGAGATGGAGAAGAAGTCGCAGGAGGCTCTAAACAAACTGGATGGGGAGTTGAAAGGCTCCTATTACCCTCTTTCTGGCATGAGCAAGGAGACCCAGAAGCAGCTTACTGAGGACCATTTTCTCTTCAACGACAGTGACAGGTTAGTGGTCAGTGTACAGTGACAGGTGTGGTCAGTATACAGGTGACAGATGAGTTGTCATTGTACAGGTGACAGGTGTGTAGTCAGCGTACAGGTAACAAGTGAGTGGTCAACATAAGGTGACAGATGAATGGTCAGCATAACATACAGGTGACAGGGTAGTGGTCAACATAACATACAGGTGGGGGGTGAACATAATATACAGGTGACAGGTGAGTGGTCTGCTTAACATGCAAGTGACAGGTGAGTGTGGTCAGCACAGGTGGTAGGTGAGAGTTCAATGTACAGGTGCCATATGATTGGTCAGCATAAGTTGATGGGCAGTAAAGACCCATTTCATGCCAGTCTAGTATTGGGCATATGATGTTAGACCATTTATCAGACTGCCCAGCACTCTATGGCTGATGTCCACCTGATGATCACTCATTTACTTTCCTCGAACATATTTTAGGTCGAGTTGACCTAGGAGGCAAACTAAAATATTAAAAATATCTGCAGTGGGCAGATTTTACACATAGACCTTCATGCCAATAGTAAGTGCCAATCAGTAATGCCCCCACCCCCATTGTTTTTTCTCTTTCTCTCTCCCTATATTTCTCCCTCTCCACCACCCATCCCCACTCCCCTTTAATTCCTTGAGAACGATTGCTAAAGCATTTCATATTTTCCTGTGTGGTTTGGCTCCTTCAGCAGAGTTATCAGAGATGCTGACTAGACGGACCATATTAGGTTAAACTGGGCCAGTGAGTTCCAGCCTCTGTTGTAATATTTTGTTTAAATGTCTGAGTTTTTTTTTTTTTTTTTAGCACCTAACTCTTGTCTTCTGCTGGACTAAGTTGACAACCACACTTGCTGTCTGACAGCTAATCTGGTAATCTGGTAATCTTAGTTTCAGCTTCATAGCAAACAGATCACCCCATAGTTGCTCGGCTCCTGTGCCAACCAAAAACACACAAAATGTTTATCATAGTCCCTTGTGGAAAGATTGACAGACTGCTGTCTCAGCATATCTAGCATACACACGCATTAAAAGCAAACGGTAGCCATCTGAAGTGCTAACACAAACAGTCCGACATTAGAAATGCAGTTCATCATGGATGGTAGCAAAAGTCACCAACAGATCTGCAGTTGTACACACGATCAATTTTAATCACATTAATGGCACCACCAATACTTCGATAACAGGTATCGCACCATTTTCTGAATCTACAATTCACACCAGCACGTTGGTCTGACAGGTTCCTGAGGGCGGCCGGTGGCTACAGGGATTGGCCCACAGGTCGTGGCATTTATTTCAACGACAACAAGACCTTCCTGGTGTGGGTCAACGAGGAGGATCATTTGAGGTTCATTTCTATGCAGAAAGGCGGCAACTTGAAGGAGGTTTATGCCAGACTTGTCAAGGTATTGTGTATTGTATTTGTTGTTTATGTGTGTTGTTGTCTTGCCTTACCTAGCAGCTCTACCTAAGTCTACAGACCATTCCCAAACAGTCTGCTTGCTTGTCTGCTCAGCTTGTTGTCTGTATCTGTGTATATGTTTATAGTCTTGTCTTTTCTTTCCATTGGCCTTGTTTAACTGTTTGCATATTTATCGCCTAGGCTCTTTCTATAATTGTGTTTCTTTATTTATGTTTTTTTGCGTGTCTCTCTTCACTAGTCTGTCTGTCTGTCTGCAAACACTAGCACTCTCTGCTTTACACTCTCTGCTTTAACTGTTGTTTCCTCTGTGTGTCTGTCAGTCTTCTTTGTTCCCCCCTCCGCTCCCCCCTCCCCAACCCACTCCCGAATTAATGACAATCTTCCATACAGATAAATTGACTTGTTGTATTACATGAAGCACATCTCCACTACAAAGTACTGCAGACATCCAGCCCTGTTTATTGCAGGAAACACATAAATGCAAATGACTTTCCTAGTACAAATGTGAATGTTTCCTCAACAGGCAATCAGGGCCCTAGAGAGTAGTGGCCTGTCCTTTGCCAAGCGTGAAGGTCTAGGTTATCTGACTTTCTGTCCCTCCAATCTGGGAACCACCCTTCGTGCCTCCGTACATATCAAGATCCCCAAGTTGGCTGCTACGCCTGACTTCAAGGCTTTCTGTGACAAATATAACATCCAGGCCAGAGGTTAGTGTTTGATCTCTTCCATACTGTTCCACTTTAGCATCACTGTATGACTTTAGCATCACTGTATGACTTTAGCATCACTGTATGACTTTAGCATCATTGTATGACTTTAGCATCACTGCATGACTTTAGCATCATTGTATGACTTTAGCATCATTGTATGACTTTAGCATCACTGTATGACTTTAGCATCACTGTATGACTTTAGCATCACTGTATGACTTTAGCATCACTGTATGACTTTAGCATCACTGTATGACTTTAGCATCACTGTATGACTTTAGCATCACTGTATGACTTTAGCATCACTGTATGACTTTAGCATCACTGTATGACTTTAGCATCACTATATGACTTTAGCATCACTGTATGACTTTAGCATCACTGTATGACTTTAGCATCATTGTATGACTTTAGCATCACTGTATGACTTTAGCATCACTGTATGACTTTAGCATCACTGTATGACTTTAGCATCACTGTATGACTTTAGCATCACTGTATGACTTTAGCATCATTATGACTTTAGCATCACTGTATGACTTTAGCATCACTGTATGACTTTAGCATCACTGTATGACTTTAGCATCACTGTATGACTTTAGCATCACTGTATGACTTTAGCATCACTGTATGACTTTAGCATCACTGTATGACTTTAGCATCACTGTATGACTTTAGCATCACTGTTCCACTTTAGCATCACTGTATGACTTTAGCATCACTGTTCCACTTTAGCATCACTGTATGACTTTAGCATCACTGTTCCACTTTAGCATCACTGTATGACTTTAGCATCACTGTATGACTTTAGCATCACTGTATGACTTTAGCATCACTGTATGACTTTAGCATCACTGTTCCACTTTAGCATCACTGTATGACTTTAGCATCACTGTATGACTTTAGCATCACTGTATGACTTTAGCATCACTGTATGACTTTAGCATCACTGTATGACTTTAGCATCACTGTATGACTTTAGCATCACTGTATGACTTTAGCATCACTGTATGACTTTAGCATCACTGTATGACTTTAGCATCACTGTATGACTTTAGCATCACTGTATGACTTTAGCACTTTAGCACTGTATGACTTTAGCATCACTGTATGACTTTAGCATCAACTGTATGACTTTTAGCATCACTGTATGACTTTAGCATCACTGTATGACTTTAGCATCACTGTATGACTTAGCATCACTGTATGACTTTAGCATCACTGTATGACCTTTAGCATCACTGTATGACTTTAGCATCACTGTATGACTTTAGCATCACTGTATGACTTTAGCATCACTGTATGACTTTAGCATCACTGTATGACTTTTTAGCATCACTGTATGACTTTAGCATCACTGTATGACTTTTTTAGCATCACTGTATGACTTTAGCATCACTGTATGACTTTAGCATCACTGTATGACTTTAGCATCACTGTATGACTTTAGCATCATTATGACTTTAGCATCACTGTATGACTTTAGCATCATGTATGACTTTAGCATCACTGTATGACTTTAGCATCACTGTATGACGTTAGCATCATTTAGCTTTCACTGTATGACTTTAGCATCATTATGACTTTAGCATCACTGTATGACTTTTAGCATCACTGTATGACTTTGTAGCATAGCATCTGTATGACTTTAGCATCACTGTATGAACTTTAGCATCATATGACTTTAGCATCACTGTATGAACTTTAGCATCACTGTATGACTTTAGCATCACTGTATGACTTTAGCATCACTGTATGACTTTAGCATCATTATGACTTTAGCATCACTGTATGACTTTAGCATCATTATGACTTTAGCATCACTGTATGACTTTAGCATCATTATGACTTTAGCATCACTGTATGACTTTAGCATCACTGTATGACTTTAGCATCACTGTATGACTTTAGCATCACTGTATGACTTTAGCATCATTATGACTTTAGCATCACTGTATGACTTTAGCATCACTGTATTACTTTAGCATCATGTATGACTTTAGCATCAGTGCATGACCTTTGTATGATTTTATCACTGTATGACCTAATCACTGAATGACTTTACCACTGTATGACCTTTTCACTGTATGACTTTAGCATCACAATATAAATTTAGCATCACTGTATGACTTTAACAATACTGTAAGACTTTATCACTGTATGACTTTAACAATACTGTTTGACTTTATCACTGTATGACTGTATGACTGTATCACCGAATTACTGTATGACTTTAACAATACTGTATGACTTTATCACTGTATGACTTTATCACTGTATGACTTTATCACTGTATGACTTTATCACTGTATGAATTTAACAATACTGTATGACTTTATCACTGTATGACTTTATCACTGTATGACTTTATCACTGTATGACTGTATCACCGAATGACTGTATCACCGAATGACAGTATGACTATCACTGTATGACTTTATCACTGTATGACTTTATCACTGTATGACTTTATCACTGTATGACTTTATCACTGTATGACTTTATCACTGTATGACTGTATCACTGTATGACTGTATCACTGTATGACTGTATCACTGTATGACTTAATCACTGTATGACTTTAGCACTGTATGACTTAAGCACTGTATGACTGTATCACTGTATGACTTTATCACTGTATGACTTCAGCACTGTATGACTTCAGCACTGTATGACTTCAGCACTGTATGACTTAATCACTGTATGACTTTAGCACTGTATGACTTAAGCACTGTATGACTTTATCACTGTATGACTTTACCATTGTATGAGTTTATCAGTGTATACTATTTATACACACACATACACACAAAGAAAAAATATACCTACTGAAAGTAATACAATTTTCACATTAAAAGTTTGTGTCACTTAATGAGTGAACTTGTTCAAATTGCAGATAAAATATTTTAGGGTTTAGCCAATTAATTGACAGTTCTTTTGCATCTAGGTCATTTAAAATTTGTGTGAATACGAGCTTTCTCACCAACTAATAAAACTGCACCATTGAATTGCTATGTAACAGTTTTGTTTATTTTTAAACAGTATATAAATGGGGTGACCGGTGTCAGAGGTTTCTTCACATTAAAAAACCAATTCCTGTATTATTTTAATCTCGTAGGTATTCATGGAGAACACACAGAGTCGGTCGGAGGTGTGTACGACATCTCCAACAAGAGGAGACTGGGTCTCACAGAAATCAGTGCCATCCAGGAGATGCGCAGAGGTGTTGAGGCTGTCATTGCAGAGGAGAAAAGACTGGGAGGCGGTAACTAAAGCAGCCCAGCAAACTACAAGATCCATGATGGAATCAACCCAGCCCAGTTTTCCCACCATTTTCTCCTGTGATTATGTTAAAATGTCCCAGTTTGTTGATAGATTTTAGTTTCTCTACCCACCCACCCCGAGTTATTAACGTATATACGTCTCTGTAGTGTATTGAGTCCTTTTTGTGTGGAGAACATAGAAGATGTGTGTAGTTTCAGCTCACTAGAAGATTAGGCTAGCATTGTCATGTTAGCTTTATCTAGTAGCCATCTTTCCTTGGCTGGTGTCTTTTCCAGTTAGCAGTAGAGAAATTGTATTGATGCAGAGAAAGAAAGCAAGAATGGTGAATTCAGATATACAGTAAGTTTTATTAGTGTTATATTATCATTTCATTCTGACAGTAAAACCCTTTATGCAGCATTGTAGTTAGGTTGAGGAAACTGACAAACTGAATCTCCATCCTTAAAGCAGAAATACAATATAGCGATGTTTTGGTTAAGTTCCATTTGTTTGAGGATTAGTGAGATGTGGCAACTCGGAACCCTAAAACAATATCTTTGTCAAACTGAGAATGCTGAAGGCTGCAGTATTTGTGGAGGTCAGACACCCACAGGTCCTAAATGCCTCACAGGGGTTCATATGTTGTGGTCAGCTGTGTTTGTGTGTGTTGTTAGGCTTGTTTTTATTTTTAATATGAAAATGTTGAAACAAAAAATAAACTTTGATTCTAATATGCCAGTGATTAACATCAGGTTTGGCAGAGGAGGGTGAATCAAGTTTATTGAGCAGTAAACAATGGCTCATAATTTTTGTGGTTGAGAAATTTTAACCCAGCTTTTGCAGATTTTGGTTGACATAATGTCTTTGAACTATGCCTAGTACACAAGTTTGACAGCTTTGGTACTGGCTGCAGCTGCATAGTGTGTGCAGAAGGTGTGTGTGATTGTAGTTACATGCGCAAACTCCCCTTCTCCACCCCACCATTGTTTTTAGGTAGTTTTGGAGTGGAAGAAATATTTACAAAATTGCGCACTGACAATGACATCATATAATTTTTTATTAAATCACACTGCCCTCTGTAGAAAAATGACCACAATGACATTGAAAAGTCAAAGGAAAGGATAGAAGTTAATTCTTTGCTCTTTTTTTGTATTTATTGATTAGATTACTGTCATTTATGTAGAAATAAACATGTTCCTGATTTAAACATTTAGTGACTGGAACAAATATTTAAATAACAATTTCATGAGTGTCTAACAGCCTGTGAGAAGCAGAGGACTTCACGCTAGCCTGTTTCCTCGGTGGTCAAGGGATCCCACAACCTGGACATGTATACAAACTGACCAAGACTTCAAGTTTCTACGGCTTCTTCTTCTCTTCTTCTTGTCTCTTAAGGTAGAGTTTAATTAAGAGAGTTTTGAGGACGCATATCGGTAAATGAAGTTTGGAAAAGGAAAACCAAAGGGTCATTTTTAAGATGACAGGGTTAAAACCTCTTCTCGTCAACAAATGTTGATTGTTTCTAAAACATTCTGTTTTTGTAATTTATTGCTATATTTTGAGTTGTTTAAACTTGTTTCCTGGACAATCTTCACTGAAGATGGAACATCCTCATTCTTTTACGGTTTTATTTATTCAAACTTGGTGATCAGACTTGAATTGGTCTTAACCAGTATTATATTGTGACAAAGTTATTGTGAACTTTGAACTCTATAGAATAACCAATTTTTTTTTTTTAAGGCATCAAAAGATTAGTCTATATTTTCTTGTTATCAATTTCAGTGTGATCTTTTATGCAAAAAAAACAATTTATTTATTGCCTTGTGATACAAAGTTTTGTGTATGTTGATCGCATATTTTTAGTATAAACAAATATTTTGTGATATTGAAAAAAAAATATTGGTGTCGAAAAATATCTGCGGCGTTGACTGTAGTTTCTAGAGACTGGTGATCAACATAACTAAAGAAAGTGATTGAGTTTATTAAATGTTTGTTAGTAGACTAGTATTTACCAGTGTTTGGGTACAGTGGCTGGGAGGCTGATGTGCCATCAGTGAAGGCAGTAACAGTAGCTGAGAGTTGTGATGTCTGGGTACTGTAGTTGGGAGACAATGTGCTATCAGTTGAAGCAATGAACGGCAGCCCGAGTTGTAAAGATGGACACTCAACTTATCAAGGTGGAATAACTGTTTGTGGTCAGACAAGTGACATCTAAAGGAAGAGTTATTTCCCTGCATGTGACACCCAATAAAATATTTTTTAGCCCTCAGCAGTTTTTGTTGTTGTTGTCCATTGGTTGGTGAATGTATGTATGACTGTTGGATGCAGGCACATCTATTTTTGGTTCTTGTTTACTTAGTCCCCCCAAGTCAAAGGTCACGAGACAGTCTAATATCTCAGGGGTGTTCCAAAATCGGCAGAGATTTTAGACAGTGATAAGATGGGATGGGGGATTCCCGGTACATTACGTGGCGCAGAGTGTGTTGTTTTGTGTTGTGTCATCATCATCAACCCCTTCTGCTGTTAAGCACCGTGGGGAGGAATAATTTGCGATCCAGTGCACCTTGGATTATTTGTGTTTTGTCATCATCGCTTAATGGCAGAAGTGGTTTATGATGATGTTGATGACACAACACACTCTGCAGGAATCCCCTATAGAAAACAACACACTGCACCATGTAATGTACCGGGATTCCCCATCCTATCACTACCTAAAATAACAGACTGAACCTGACCTTTGACATTAGGGGATTAAGTAGACGTGTACCACTTTTTCCCCCTCATATCACACTGCCTGGTTTGATGGGCTTGTATCTGCACTCACAGACTGGTAAACTATGACCCAGGCTTTCAAGTCCATGCCCTTGGCTGGCCTGTCGGGTATATGGTACTGATACTGTAGTGTGATAAACCAATCAAGATCCATATCATACAGGCCAGCTTTACTTCCCATGATGTTTCCTAATAGTAATGACAAGCGGGGTTGACCTTGGATTACAGATGACTTAAAAAACAAATATCGTTGCCTTATACCCCTTCACCACAATACTCTTCTCAAAATTCACACAGGCGCTGCTCCACATGTCTTCAGCATTTCAATAATCCTCACCTTGCATTTGTACGTACACTTGCTTACTCACAAACAATATATCAAACATGCAGTTCCAATAACCAGCAGACCTCACCTCACATCCAATAACCAGCAGACCTCACCTCACATCCAATAACCAGCAGACCTCATATCCAATAACCAGCAGACCTCACCTCACAACCAATAACCAGCAGACCTCACATCACATCCAATAACCAGCAGACCTCACCTCACATCCAATAACCAGCAGACCTCACCTCACATCCAATAACCAGCAGACCTCACATCACATCCAATAACCAGCAGACCTCACATCACATCCAATAACCAGCAGACCTCACCTCACAACCAATAACTAGCAGACCTCACACCCAATAACCAGCAGACCTCACCTCACATCCAATAACCAGCAGACCTCACCTCACATCCAATAACCAGCAGGCCTCACATCACATCCAATAACCAGCAGGCCTCACATCCAATAACCAGCAGACCTCACATCACATCCAATAACCAGCAGACCTCACCTCACATCCAATAACCAGCAGACCTCACCTCACATCCAATAACCAGCAGACCTCACAACCAATAACCAGCAGACCTCACATCCAATAACCAGCAGACCTCACATCACATCCAATAACCAGCAGACCTCACATCCAATAACCAGCAGACCTCACATCACATCCAATAACCAGCAGACCTCACAACCAATAACCAGCAGACCTCACATCCAATAACCAGCAGACCTCACCTCACATCCAATAACCAGCAGACCTCACATCCAATAACCAGCAGAACTCACATCCAATAACCAGCAGACCTCACATCCAATAACCAGCAGACCTCACATCCAATAACCAGCAGACCTCACATCCAATAACCAGCAGACCTCACATCCAATAACCAGCAGACCTCACATCCAATAACCAGCAGACCTCACATCCAATAACCAGCAGAACTCACATCCAATAACCAGCAGACCTCACATCCAATAACCAGCAGACCTCACATCCAATAACCAGCAGACCTCACATCCAATAACCAGCAGACCTCACATCCAATAACCAGCAGACCTCACCTCACATCCAATAACCAGCAGACCTCTCAACCAATAACCAGCAGACCTCACATCCAATAACCAGCAGAACTCACATCCAATAACCAGCAGACCTCACATCCAATAACCAGCAGAACTCACATCCAATAACCAGCAGACCTCACATCCAATAACCAGCAGAACTCACATCCAATAACCAGCAGACCTCACATCCAATAACCAGCAGAACTCACATCCAATAACCAGCAGACCTCACATCACATCCAATAACCAGCAGACCTCACATCACATCCAATAACCAGCAGAACTCACCTCACAACCAATAACCAGCAGACCTCACATCACATCCAATAACCAGCAGACCTCACCTCACAACCAATAACCAGCAGACCTCACCTCACAACCAATAACCAGCAGACCTCACCTCACAACCAATAACCAGCAGACCTCACCTCACAACCAATAACCAGCAGAACTCACAACCAATAACCAGCAGACCTCACCTCACAACCAATAACCAGCAGACCTCACAACCAATAACCAGCAGACCTCACCTCACAACCAATAACCAGCAGACCTCACCTCACAACCAATAACCAGCAGAACTCACAACCAATAACCAGCAGACCTCACCTCACAACCAATAACCAGCAGACCTCACAACCAATAACCAGCAGAACTCACAACCAATAACCAGCAGACCTCACCTCACACCCAATAACCAGCAGACCTCACATCACATCCAATAACCAGCAGACCTCACACCCAATAACCAGCAGACCTCACAACCAATAACCAGCAGACCTCACAACCAATAACCAGCAGACCTCACAACCAATAACCAGCAGACCTCACACC